CGGGCCCAGCCGCTCCGCGGCATGTGGAATCTTCCCGGCCCGGGGCGCGAACCCACGTCCCCTGCATCGGCAGGCAGACTCGCAACCACTGCGCCACCAGGGAAGCCCCCCACCCAATTTTTTTTTCTTGACATTGAGGTTTTTGTTAGTTTGCTTTTTCTTAGTTCCTTGATTTCCTTTTTTTTAATTGAATTATAGTTGATTTACAATGTTGTGTTAGTTTCAGGTGTGTAGTAAAGTAATTCAGTTCTATATATATATATATATATATATATATATATATATATATATACCCTTTTTCAGATTCTTTTTCATTGTAAGTTATTACAAGATAATGAATATAGTTCCCTGTGCTATACACTAGGCACTTGTTGTTCATCTGTTTTATATATAGTAGTTTGTATCTGCTAATCCCAAATTCCTAATTTATCCCTCCTCCACCCCATTTCTCCTTTGGCCATAAGTTTGTTTTCTATGTCTGGGAGTCTATTTCGGTTTTGTAAATAAGTTCATTTGTGTCACATTTAGATTCCACATATCAGTGATATCATATGGTATTTGTATTTCTCTGTCTGACTTACTTAGTATGATAATCTCTAGGTCCATCCATGTTGCTGCAAATGGCATTATTTCATTCTTTTTTATGGCTGAGTAATACTCCATTGTATATATGTGCCACATCTTCTTTATCCATTCATCTGTTGATGGACACTAAGGTTGCTTCCACGTATTGGCTACTGTAAACAGTGCTGCTAGATGTTGACTTGTATGAGCTGTTTATATATGTTGGATATTAACCCCTTATCGGTCATATCATTTGCAAATATTTTCTCTCATTCGGTAGTCTGCGTTTTCATTTTGTGGATGGTTTCCTTTGCTATGCAAAAGATTTTAAGTTGAATTAGGTTCCATTTGTTTATTTTTGCTTTTGTTTCCTTTGCTTTAGGAGACAAATCCAGAAAAATATTGTTGAGATTTATGTCAAAGAGTGTCCTGCCTGTGTTTTCTGGTTTCTCCTCTTACATTTAGGTCTTAAAGGTCTTAAACTCCCTTTTGAGTTTGTTTTAGTGTATGGTGTTAGAGAATCTTCCAATTTCATTCTTTGACATGTACCACTCCGTGAAGAGACTGTCTTTTCTCTTTTGTATGTTCTTGCCTCCTTTGTTGTAGATTAATTGACCAATTAATTAATTGCGTGGGTTTATTTCTGGGCTTTCTATGCTGCTCCATTGATCTGTGTGTCTGTTTTTGTGCCACGTGTCTAGATTTGTCATTTTATTGTCTTTTGATGATCAGAAGAAGTAAAATTTAGCACGGTCATTTATGATCAGCATTTTTTTTTTTTTTTTTTTTTTTGCGGGGGGGCGGGGCCCTCTCACTGCATTGGCCTCTCCCGTTGCGGAGCACAGGCTCCGGACGTGCAGGCTCAGCGGCCATGGCTCACGGGCCCAGCCGCTCCGCGGCATGTGGGATCTTCCCGGACCGGGGCGCGAACCCACGTCCCCTGCATCGGCAGGCGGACTCTCAACCACCGCGCCACCAGGGAAGCCCTGATTAGCATTTTTGTGTCTTGTTCAATAAAAACCCTTTCCTACCCCAAGGACAGAAAGATGGCTACCTTAATTTCTTTCCATAAGTTTTAAAGTTTCGTTTTGGCCTTTAAATCCTGAATTGATTTAGAGTTGCTTTGGAGTGTGGTGTGAGGTAAGTGTGGTGGAAAGAATAGCGGTCCCCAAAGAAGCACCCATCTTAATATCTAGCCCCTGGGAACCTGTCACCTTCTATGGCCGAAGGGATGCAGATGGTGAGGCGGGCAGACTAGCCTGGTGACCCAGGTGGGCAGAACTTAATCCTGTGGGTCCTTAAAAGCTGAGACCCTCTCCCGGCTGTGGTCAGAGAAGTGAGAAGAGAGTCTAAACGTGAAGAGACAGGCCTTGTCTTGAATATGGAGGAAGGGGTCTGGGCTGAGACATGAGGGGGAGTCTAGATGCCGTGAGCAGCCCTCCGTTGACAGCCAGGAGGAAACAGGGACCCAGTCCCGGTACTGCGAGGAACCGAACTCTGCCGACCCCCAAGGGGGCAGGGGACTGGTCCTCTGGAGCCTCAGGAAGGAGCCAGCCCCACCCAGTGAGACCCATCTTGGACATCTGACCTCCAGAACTGTCAGATGTTACATCCCTCCCGTTTGAGCCTCTAAGTGTGTGGTGATTCGTAGGCAGCAGTAGAAGAGGAATTCAGAGGGATCCCGTCTTATTTTCTGCTGTCTGCGTGCCCCGGGCCCAGCACCTGCAGTGAGATGTCTCCCAGCTGCTGCCCCTGTTCTCTTTCCATCCAAGTTCCAAATGCCCGTCAGCCTGTGCTAGTGCCCCTTCATTTTCTGCCCAGTGACTCTCAGCTCCTGGACTGTGATCTTCCTTGCTTCTTTACTTATCTGAGCAGCAGAAATGGACCCTGGCTCTCCTTCAAGGGCTGGCAGAGCTCTGGCCCCTGGAACGCCCTCTCCTGACCCCATATGAGCGCCTGGCTGGAAAGAGGGATGTGGGGCTATGGTGAAGCCACACCCTGCCCCTCCTATGTGACTGTGGGTGGGGGAGGCCACGTCTCAGCCTCCCTGGAGCCCGGTGCCCAGTCTGCACCCCGGGCTGTGACCAGTCCCCTCTCCTGGGGTTGTCATGGGGACAAATGCACTGCCCGATGGGCTCCCTCGTGCAGGATGGCAGACGTGGTCGCAGCTCGTCGGAAGTGGGTCTAGTGAGCCATCTCGTAGCTAAGTGGCCTTGATTGTCTTAGTGTCTTCTTAAAAAGATTTTTATCGGAGTCGAGTTGATTTACAGTGTTGTGTTAGTTTCTGCTGTGCAGCAAGGTGACTCAGTTATACATATACACATATCCACTCTTTTTGAGATTCTTTTCCCGTATAGCTTATTACAGAGTGTTGAGTGCAGTTCCCCCTGTGCTATATATTAGGTCCTTCCTAGTTATCTATTTTATATACAGGACCTTGTTTTTTATAAGCGGCTTCACTTTTGAACAAAGATTTTGTATGGGACTTTGCAGTGATGACGGATCTCTCTGGTTGCAACAACGTGGAACTTATCTTTTTGTGAGTCACTGCGTGCCAGGTGAGGGTTAGGACACTTCACAACGATGGGATTTCTCGAGGATCTCCCAGATTGGACCAGACGCTCTCTAAGGCCTTCCTGTCTGGGACCCGCACAGAGGTGATGGCAAGGCCACACCCAGGGGCAAAGCATCAGGGGCACGGGGGTCTTAAATGATGCACAGGGCACAACCACACAGAGGGTTTGGGGGATGTGGTCCTGTGATGCCCTGAGGGGGTTTCCCAAAGGCTAGATCCCGGGATGGGGGGCGGGAGTTGGGGCGGTGAGGACCAAGCAACTATCCTAACAATCACTTTCTCACTTTTTTTTTCTTCTTTTTTTTGGCCGCATGGCTTGCAGGACCTTAGCTCCCTGACTAAGGATCGAACCCAGGTCCTGACAGTGAAAGCGCTGAGTCCTAACCACTGGACCACCAGGGAATTCCCATGATCACCTTCTTCTGACCATGCGAGACAGCCTGTTTTGAACACCAGCTATGGCTGAAGTTACCTCTCACGAGATGCTGGGGCTGGAAGGGTATGTATCAGGGCGCTTGTGGCTGCGGGGAACAGAAAGCCCAGCTACAACTACTCAGCCTTCAGAGAACTATTTGTGTCAAGGAACAGGAAGCCCAGACACAGAAGGCTCCGGGGTCGCCAAGTCGATGCTCTTTCAGCTCACGTCCTTAGACTAGCAGGTCTCATGGTCCCGATGGAACAGGGAAGAACAAATCTGACTCCACGTTAGAGCTGTTTTGCTTTAACCTTTGTGCCCTGTTGCCTGTGCTTAGTCATGCTGGCTCTGCACCTTTTGTACAAGAATGTTGCCTGTAGCCTGAAATATACAGGGCAGCCCTTGTCTCAGGGCTCTGACCTTTAAGAGCCCATTCATAGGGAGATAAAAAGTGCAGGACAGAGAATAACATTTGTCTTGCTGGAGGTTTACGGGAACATCATGACCAGCTTCAAGAACAAAGGATTCCAGCACCACAAAGCCTGCAACAACCTACCACGCCCCTCCCACACCTTGCCTTCAAAAAGGCTTTGCTGAAACCCTTCGGGAAGTTCAGCGTTTTGGAGGCACTAGCACCCGTCTCCTTGCTCGGCCCTCTGATAAACCTTTCTCTGCTCCGAACTCTGATGTTACGGTTTGCTTGGCCTCCCTGTGCGTCGGCCACATGGACTTGTGTCTGGTAGCAAGATGACTGCCTGTGCTCTAGACATCACACACAGTCCCAGCAATAACCAAGAAGAAGACACAGGGTCTCTTCTTCCTGTCTCGAGAGAGGACACCATCCCTCAAAGCCCCTGCAGACCTCCTCTCAGGTCCCATTCCTGAGCCAGTCCCGGGGCAGAGGTGGGACCCCTGGTGAACTGTCACACCCAGCACTGACTCCCCCATGTGAACACAAACAAGTCCTTTACTAAGAAGAAACGTAGGGTGGAGCTGGGTGTGTGCCCCAGCACCGAGCCCTGCTCCCAGGGTAACTGCTCACTCAGCAGCCCTTCCCCGAGAGCCCTCCCAGGCCCCGGGACACCAGTGAATGGGGCACTCACGGCCCCTGGCCTGGGAAGGCGACTTGCTACAAGTCTGTGCCAAACACCATGGAGAAGTCAAATCAGTGCCGAGATGCAGGGAGACCCAGGAATGGGGCTGCCTTCCCGAGGAGGAGCCCCCAGGATGTGTGCGGGCAGAGGCACGGACAAGTGCAAAGGCCCTGAGGTAGGTTCATGTTTAGGGAGCAGGAAAGCAGAGCGGCAGGAGGGGAGCGGGCAGGCTGAGGTTGGAGGGGTGGGCGGCCCCACGAGGGGTGCCCACCGCCTCAGATGCGTGGGCATGGAATGTAGGCTGAGAATGTGGGCGGGCCGTGCTCCTGTTGCCAGGTGACCACAGACAACAAGAGCAAAGCTGCAGGGCTGGGAAGGGCCCAGCACATGGGGGACCACCAGTAAAGCTCGCTCTACAGCCACCGCATGTCAGAGGCCAAGGACCAGCCAGAAAGGGGGCAGGATGACGGCACCCTGGGCCTCCAGGGCCCCACGTATGAGAACCGAGGGCCCAGGGTCCAGGGACCCCAAACTCCCCCTGAGGAGGTGACTGGGGAAGAATTCGTGGACGCCCAGAACCCGGAGGAGGCCTTCGCGGAGCTGGAGAGGGTTCTGGAGAAAGATGCGGAGGAGGGCATGCCTGAGATGAGGTGGGCAGGAGAAGCGGGCGCCCAGGCTGGGGTGGGCGGGGGTGGCCCTGGGCGTGGCTGCACTGGCCTGGGTGCTCACTCTAGGGGTGAAGTTGTCAGCAGCTCGCTGCTCTGAGGAGGAAGGCGGCAAACGGCCCCTGTCCAGGTGGCAGGGGGGTCGTCGTGGAAAACCCTATGCAAACGCCAGCTTTGGAGGTGGCAGAGTTGAGAGGTCGTGAGCCCTCCATCCGACAGAAAGAAAAAGAAATGGGGGAGAGTCTCCCAACCCCCAAAGCTGAAACCAATGCAAGTACCATACATTGCCAGAAACGCTTTCGGTGGCCAGGAGGACACCCGGAAAACCGCGGGTGCTCCCTCTAGGGAGGGACCCTGTGCCCTAGTGTGTGCATGGGTTCCTCGGCTGGAACCCCTCGCCTCCTGGTCCTGGGTAAGCACGCGTCCCCTCAGGCACTGCAGAGGGGCCTTTGCCCTCCCGGCACAGTGACGGAGCTCGTGTCATGAGCGCACAGGGTGCCGTGTGATGTGGCCGGTGGGGCAGGGGACGTGTGCCGCGTAGAGGGCGGCGCTGCGCATAGGCGGGGCTCGGGGAGGGGTCCAAGCCGGGACAGGAGACTGGATGTCTTGGTGCTCTGGGGGCTTCCTGGGGGCACTGTCCATGGCTCAGCATCCCCTCTGTGGCCCTGCAGGCGGGAGCAGGTCTCTGTTCCATTTCACAAAGGAGGGAACTGAGGGCACTGGCTGGTGGCAAAGCTAGGATTTCAGATCAGGTCTTCATGGTGCCAGGGCTCTCCTCCAGAGGGCGGGGCGAGAGCACAAGGATGGTTCTACCCCGCCGGGGGAGCAAGTGCTCTGGCCTCAGCGTCCACCTTCCCTCAGCCGGCTGTCCACCTCCCAGAGGACCCCTGGCACCTCCGTGGGCTGGGAGAGGAGGAAGAAGAGGCGGCTGTTGGAGTTGGTGAAACCCAAGACCAACTGGCAAGTCTTGAAAGACAGGTGAGGTGTTGGGCAGCCTGGATGGGGGGGTCTGAGAGGGGCACGGTGCCCTCGGCAGCCTCTGGGTACCGGCCGAACCAGCGGGTCCCTGCGCAGAGGCGGGCGGGGCCCTGTCTCTCGCAGGATGGGGTGCTGCTGCAGGGGCTACGCCTAGATCTCCCCCCACATGAGGAACCTGCAGTTCTGTGTCTACTGGTGAGTCCCGCCCCCCCGCTGCCCACATCGTTGGGAAGGGGGGCCTTCACCGGAACCACCCTTCCTCTCCTGGGATAGGGCTGGGGGAAGGACTCTGCACTGGGGGCCCCGCCCCAGGATTCCCAGCTCTACCTGGAGCTCTGGACCCAGCCCCCGGCTTGAGATGGGTCTGCTCCTAGACACCTGGCCGCTTCTCAGTTGCGCCTGTTTTTTTCCAGCTCCCTCCTTCTCTGAGCACCAGCGTTGCTCAGAATAACCTACACTCTCTGTGCTTCTAAGACTTTTCTCCCGCGTCCGTGTGTCCCTCTCTGACCTGCCTCTGCTGCCCATCTACTTACTCTCTCCTTTCTTCCCCCTGGAAGCTCTCCCTCCCTCGCCCTCCAGCTGCCCCTCTCCCCGCTGTCTGTGTTATGGGGTGCCCTGAGTTCTGCTGCTGAATGGGGCGCAGACTGCTGGGACCCTGGCTTCCCTCACGCTGAGCCCCACTGGGTGTGTTCCAGGCCATCTGTGTACTGGACAGAGAGGTTTCTTGAGGATACCACCCTCACCATCACGGTGCCCAGTAGGTTGACCTGCCTAACCCTAACTCTAACCCTAACTCCTTCTCCGCGGGGTTGGGGGGGGGATCAGGGGGACGGGGGCTGGCCAGGCGCCTGCGGCCGGGTCACCCCCATCTCACCGTGACCTGCACCTGGCTCTGTTTGGGGAGACCGAGGGGCCTCCCAGCCCAACCCTCCCAGGGGTCCCTGTGGGACTGCCCCTCCCCCATCTCCCAGGACCGCCTCCACCCCCAGTCTTCCAGGGGTCTCCTCTCTGGAGTCTGTCCCCAAGCTGGAGGCTGGTCCTGGTGGGGGAGGGGTGGGGGGCAAGCTCTCCAGGGGAAATCACAGTTTGCATCTCAAAGTGGGGTCAGTACTAGAAAACTCATTTCTGGAGAGCCGCTCAGGGCGAGTTGTCTCTTGGGTTTAGAATCCCCTGCAGTGAGCACGGAGGCCCCTGGAGCCCAGGCCCGTCCTGCAGAGGAGCCTGAGCCCCCTTTCCCCCCCACCCCTGTGTGCCCCACGGTCCCCTGGTGAGGGTGTCTGCTGTGAGCTGTCCCTTGTGTGAAGCTGGATTCAGGAGGAGGGAAGCCCTCGGGGAGGGGCAGGTTTCCAGGGAGCTGTTTCCCCTTTTGTGCAGAGGTGTCCCGCCGGTTGGCGGAGCTGGCCCGACCTAAGAGGTTCTACTCAGAGTATTACAACAACAACAGGTAGGGGGCGGCCGGGCAGGGACCCCTTTTCCTCGGGGCTTGCAGGGGAGGGTCCAGGTCCTGGGACCAGGAGACCCATTCACGCCGGCCAGGCAGTGAGCCTTTGAAGCTCAGCTACCCAGACAGGACGCAGGAGGCTCTCAGGGCTGCAGGGCAGGTGCTGGTGTCGCTCTGGGCAGCTGGCGGTTGTGAGACTGATGGTTTTAGGCGCCTGCCTCCTGGCACGATTCTGTCTCAGTTCTTGCGCCTTCCGCCCTTGCTGATGTGGGATCTGGTGTTATTAGACACAGACTGGTTTCCTATCTCACGCATGTGTGGAAAGGAAAACATGCCCGAGAGCCCCACTCACCCATGTTGACAGGCTCCAGCCACCGTTTCTGTGGCCGTCATTGTGACCACAACTTCTCACCTTAATGCTGGTTGGAGCGTAATCTGGAGGCATTTCTGTGTGACCTGTAATCTGGGGTGGCCTCTGCGATCTGTAATCTGG